GTCAGTTCAAATTCAAACACAGGCGCCACAGAAGTAAATTGGATGAAGACTACGAAACGCGGAGCAGTTCCGAGTAGTTCCGGACAGAAATATGTCAATAACTCGGGGAGCAGAACAAACTTTCCGTGGAATGACAGGAGAGACAGCGCACTCTGGCATCAAAAGTCAAGAACTTCACTTCAACAAAGATCATGGCAAACGTTCATCAAAAAAGTGTTTTGTGTGCGGGAAAAGCAATCATAGTGCGAAATTGTGTAGGTATAGAAGCTACAAATGTAGAAATTGTCAGAAAGTGGGACACCTAGAAAAAGTTTGTAATGTAAGAAATCAAAATGTGTTGTTTTCAGAAAACGTAAGTAATGAAACTTATAACATGTTTAATTTAGTTGTTAATAATAAATCAAATTCAAATTATTTCATGTTAGAGATAAAGATTAACGGAATAATTCATGCACCACATGTAGATACAGGGGCATCAATTACCGTTATTAATGTACAGTTTTATGAGAAATATTTTAAAGACTATCAATTGTATACTGATAATATTATGTTATTATCGTTTAGTGGCAACTATATAAGACCAGTAGGATACATTGTAGCGAAAGTACAGGTTAAACAAATCGAAAAAAATATAAAATTCTATGTGATTGATCAACTTGACTCACCAAATTTGTTGGGTAGAGATTTCTTAAATATTTTTAAAATAAAGTTAGACATGGTAGACGTTCAACTTTTACAAAGTGTAAACAATCAAATTATAGACAAATTTCCTTTAGTTTTTACTGATAAAGTAGGGAAATTTAATCATTTTAAAATTTCTTTTGATATGATAGATAATGCAAAACCCATCTTCCACAAGCCCAGTCTCTCGCCTATATCAAACAAGTGGAACAACAATTAGAAGACATGGTAAAAAACGACATTTTAGATAAAATAGAAACTTCTAAGTGGGGTACACCAGTAGTGTCCCGTCTTAAAAGCCGACAATACAGTGCGAATCTGTGGAGATTATAAAGTCATGTTAAACAAAATCCTCAAAGACATAAAATGTCCTATGCCCAGGATAGAGGAAATATTTTCAAAATTAAACGGAGGTAAGTTATTTACAAAACTCGATCTTAATAAAGCCTATTTACAATTGCGTTTAGATGAAAAGTCACAAAATATAGCTAGTTTGTCAACCCATAGAGGGATTTTTAAAATGAAATCATTACCATTTGGAACAAAAGTATCTAGTGCTATTTTTCAACAGGTTGTCGATAATTTATTACAGGGACTGGAAGGAGTAGCTGTATATGTTGATGACATTGTCGTCACTGGTAAGTCGCAAAGGGAGCATGAACAAAATTTAACAGTGGTATTAAAGAAGTTGCAGGATGCTGGATTAACGTTATCCAAGGAAACGTGTTAGTTTTTCAAACAAGAGATTGAATACTTGGGACACAAAATAAATGAAGAAGGTTTAAAGAAGACTGATTCTAAAATACAAGCTATTATAGCAGTGCCAAGACCAACCACAACGTCAGAAGTGAGGATTTTTGTGGGATTAGTTAATTATTACATTAAATTTGTACCACAGTTAGCAGCAAAAATGAGTCCTCTATATGACTTATTGAAAGAAGGAAAGGAAGAAATAGAGTGGAATGACACATGCGAGAAAGCATTCAGAGAAATTAAAGTAGCTATGGCAGAATATATAACCATAGCGCATTTTGACCCAGAAAAAGAAGTGGCAAGTGACGCATCAGGTAAAGGAATATCCAGCGTGTTATTTTATAGAGAAAGAGATGGTTCAGAGAAACCAATAGTGTGTGCATCAAGGACATATATGCCACATGAGAAGAAGTACTCAGTCATATGCCAAGAGGCATTGGCGATAGTAATTGGCCTAAAAAAATTTGAACAGTATATCAGAGGAAGAAAAATAATTATAAAAACGAACCATAAACCTCTACTCTATTATTTGGGGAAACAAAAGGAATTCCCGAATATAGCATCTTTTGATTACAAGATAGAACACGTAAAAGGACAACAGAACATCGTACCAGATTGTTTGTTGAGATTGCCAATGGAAGTGGAGGTAATTTCAGATGAAACAAATTGTATAGGTTATCTCAATTTTGCAGACACCGTAGAAGAGTGGCCAAAAGATAACAATAAAATAAAAAAAAAAGCAACAGACGAAGAGGCAGAGCTGAAATTAGTGAAACAACATATCATTGAAGGATGGAGGAGACAAATGGAAGGACTTAAACCTTACCATGCAAGAAAAGATGAGTTATTTATAGAAAATGAATGTATAATGTGGGGACAAAGAGTAGTTATACTCACTAGGTTGAGAAAACAAATGTTAGAAGAGCTTCATGCAGGTCACCTAGGTATAGTCAAGACTAAGAGCCTAGCAAGATCCTATTTATGGTGGCCAGGATTAGATAACGACATCGAGAGAAAAATAAAAGTTGTGTGGCATGTCAAATGAATCATGGTAATCCGAAAAGCGAATTATCACAATGGCCAGCAACGCATTATCCATGGAAACGAATCCATATGGATTACATGGGACCTTTTAAAGGAATGAATTTTCTTATTGTAGTAGATTCTTATTCGAAGTGGATAGAAGTGTTTTAAGTGAGAAACATAACAAGTAGAGAAACAGAAGATAAATTAAGAGACAATTTTGCGAGATTTGGACTCCCAGAAACGATAGTTTCGAACAACGCATCAAATTTTGTTTCAAAAGAACTTAAAACTTTTTTTCAAAAAAATGGCATAAATCATTTAACTTCTCCACCATATCATCCAGCTAGCAACGGTGCAGCTGAGAATGCAGTAAAAACTTAAAAATAAATTGAAGTGTGCTATAAATGACTCAAATCATAACAATGTGTCAATTCATACGCTAATATCGAGATTTCTTATTTCTTATAGAAATGCAGAACATGCAACAACGAAGAAATCACCAGCAGAGTTGATGTTAGGTAGGAAGTTGAGAACAAGAATTAGCCTGGTTCAACAAAATCACCAAAAAGGTAGAGATGTGATAACAAATGATATGAAAGAAAACAGTAAGAAAAGAAGTAGACCAGTAGCACCATCAAGATATAGAAGACATTTTTGGAAAGGACAAACTGTATGGATAAAGGATTATAGAATGCAAGGACAAGAATCATGGAAAGAAGCAGAAATAATAAAAAACAAGGTAGGAGTATTTACCTTTGCAGGTTATTAAACGGGTAATGTTGGAGATGACATAAAAATCAGATAAGGGATAGAATTCAGGAGAGAGAGAGAGGCACGGTGAAGAAAATGTGGAAGGGGGAAGAGAGTATAGGAGACAAACACCTGAAACAGGTATGCACTTTCATAATACTAGACATAATAGTTATAGAGGTAATGTGATAGGGTACCATAGTAATAATCATAGTACATTATCACAGCGAAGTGAGCCAGAAACTCAACAAATTAAGGATTCAGGTAGATCAAGGGTAATAGTTTCACAGGAAACTAAGGAAAATTTAAAGATTCAGGTTAATGAAAAACCATGACAGAACGCAAACGGTTCGGTAATGGAACCATCACAGAGTGCAAATGAGTCTGTAATGGATCCATCACAGAACACAAGTGGTTCTGTAATAGTGGCACAAAGTCACAGCTGGGGTGCGTTCAGAAATGTAGGGTAAATGCGTCCGGACGTTGTCTAACTTCTAAAAAGCGTTCCTAAATATGGAACGTTTTATCTGGACGAATTACCCCAGCCGTTCCTATTTAAAAGAAAAACGCGTCGGGATGAAGAAATTTTACTGATCGTGTTGAGTAGGGTAATTTTTACTCAACTTGCGCAGTATGTCATAGACCTAATTAACCTAAGAGAACCACCTAGTATTTTATTTCCTATTTTTACTTTTTGAGTAAAACATATTTAAATATGAGTATGAGTGAGATAATTAAATCCATCAATTATCGTCTCGTTGTCGGAAACGATGGTAATTTTATTATACAAAATGATAAAATTTTAATTTAATAATGAATTGAATTTTTACATAAAAACGTCTATGTGGACGTCAATGATGTTACCTATTTACTAATTTTTGATAATTCCTACAATATCAGATAACAGAAAAGACATAACCAAAAACTTGATTTGACAATACTTTGCAATTACCGTTCGTATTTATCGGGAAAAAATAAACGTTCCGACGAGTTTTGTCCGGACGATTGAAAATTTGACGCTCTCCATTTCTGAACGCACCCCTGTAGTAATAATGTTATGTCAGACAAGGTAGAAGCCGTTGAAAAGGAAGTTTCTGAATCAGCACAAGCTAATCACAATAGTGTTAATGATAATGATAATTTCTACGAGGCATCAGAAACATTCTCATCAAGGATATCTCCTAAAATGAGAAGGACGGAACGTGCCAGAACAGTACCGAGAAAGTTAGGCGATTATGTAACTGATTTCAAGTAAGAAGGGGATGTAATGTATTGCACCTCAAGTTATTTAAATATACCGCCTAAAGTAATAAACGGAACAACCCGACACGAGCCGATCTTCGATGCGCACTCTACACAGGGTGGCAGTCATAAAGGTAAATCGAGCATGTGTAGACACGAGGCCGTTTGATGGCAACCTTTCTGTGAATAGTATTAATCATATTAATGTTAAATGTGTAAAAGAAACCCAGTGACAATAAAAGTTATATACCAGTTTAAATCGTTATTATTTATGCCAAACTTAAATACATAACAGTAGTAGTCGAAAAAATATTAAAAAAAAAAGAAAAATCGTTAAGCACACTGCAACTTCGTGTAAGTACTTTTTGTGCGGATAATATTTTGGTAAGTTATTGTAATATTAATTTATAATGCTATTTTAGATTTTGCTATATAATCTTTTAGGAAAACAGGGGGACATTTGTATATTTCTAAGTGATTAAGCCTTGTAAAACTGAGCATCTTTGGATAACCACCAAAATTTAGATTTCAATAAAGTTGATACTTACTTGAATCACAATTTTTTCCCATAGAACCAGCGGAACAATAGCATGTTTTCTGATTCCATTCACAATATTTGAAACCCATACTACAAACTTCATTTCCAAATATCTTACAAGGAATGCATGCATTACCAAACCTATCTTCGTCGCAATCTATACCTAAAAATTTATTATTAGCTCAGTAAATATTTAAAATAAATTATTTGTATAAATTATTAAAAGAAAACATTGGTATTCATTCTTTTGCACCAAAACCTTATTGAAGAATAGGCATCATGATACTACAGAAGTAAAAGACACTTAAGAGAAAGCAAAACAAGGAAAATATGTAGATAGGTGGCTGGATCGCTTTAAAGAGTTGCTAAGTAAGGAGGCAGCACACAATGAAGATTACAAATCTGAAAAAGAAAAGGCCAACAAATCCCAATAATGGAAATTCTAACTGAAATAGAAATTAGGGAGGTATGTTTGGTTTCGTAAAAACATGTCGGAATAGAATATTAATAGATACGCACCTATTGATTAGACAAATTAGACAAATAATTTATTTATGAAAATAGGGACTATATATATATATATATATATATATATATATATATATATATATATATATATATATAAGAGAGTTTATATTCGTTGCTGACTAGTTAATAATTAAACCAGTAATTTGTGGGTAATGCAGCAAATAAAAGAGTACTTTTTTAAGTTTATTCCAAGCTTTCGGAAATGTTTATTTCCATCATCAGGGAGACTAAAATAAAATAATACCAAATTCTATGAACAAAAAGACAGATATTAACAATTTAAGTGAAATTTATTCTTATTTATTGGATTTGGACAATAAACCAAACCAAATTCATAATTTAAATAATACAGAGCTATTTTAATATGAAAATCACTCTTTGAACATTTAAAAAATATTAATGTTATGTAAACATAGCATTATCCACATTTATTTCCTAACCTCTAATAACTTGTTATTTATTTAAAATTTTACTTGTCATGTCAAATTGTCAAATTGACCTTTCGTTATTTATATTTTTTTAGTTTTAAAGTATCGTAGTTATTGTTTGTGTATATTATTTTGTAATTGACTTCAGCTTGTCCATTTTGTATCTTTACACTAAACTGAATAATACCACCAAAATGAACAACCTTAATTAAGATGTAAGTAATAAAAAATTTTTACCTTACTTTATCATAATATGTGGTATTATTTTATTTTAGTCTCCCTGATGATGGAAATAAACATTTCCGAAAGCTTGGAATAAACTTAAAAAAGTACTCTTTTATTTGCTGCATTACCCACAAATTACTGGTTTAATTATATATATATATATATATGTTAAATCACTACTTTTTCAAACGACTTTTTAAAAAGATTTATTTTTTATTGTTACAAATACATGAGTTTGTTTTTAAATCTAATTAACAACTAACTACTTTTCTATTTTACTCCTATTTATAGTCTCTGTCTATTTTGCATTGTAAGTGTTTTCTTTGTTCACTAGAACTTGCTGACACACGCGACCGTCCTTAATTGTGTTTCGTAACCTGATACGCGTGTGCAACGTTAATTGAGATGAAGGTCACTATTTTCACATATAACAGCTCCCCTTTTTAGTAAAAAGTTGGTGGGATGCAACAACCTTTTTTAGGCCTCTAGTGGGATGTCCTCCTCAATGGTTTCGTCGGGGTTGATGCTTGGTCTTCTCCGTGGGAACATGCCTTGAAGTCTTCGTTGGATGGTGTTCTTACTGCGTAACTCAGGTGGTGGTGGTGGATTGTCAAGAGAAGAAGCTATAGCTATTCTGGTTGGTCTTCTACGTCGACATTTGCAAAATATGTACAAAAGAACTAAAGTAATGACTAAAGTAATGGTAAAAATCGTGAACCATGACATATGTTTATTAATAAAAGGTTCGTTGATTAATTGATCTAATTGATCAGAATATTGATCAAGTTTATGTTTAGCTATGTTAAGGTCTTCCGTGTCAATCTTATTTAATCTTAATGGTTTTAAATCGGGAACGTGGATTTTTCCGATAATTTGATCACAACATCTGTATGGAATATGGATTGGATGGCTTCTATACGTAATATTTTGATAATTGTCATGGAGGTATTTAGCATGTACTCTTGTGGTTCCGATGAAGGCATTACACTCGGGTTGGAGTTTTAACAACGAATTTGTGTTGATGATTTTCGTTGTAGCTTCTCTATTTGTACATTTTATTGTGACTGGAAGTGGATCTGACATAGCTATGAGCCAAAAGTTTTGATCTATTTCTTGAACATTATAGTCTTTGGCATAAAGTAAAGATATTTGACAAGTTCTTGGTAAATGATTACTTTGTTTTAATAACTGAGCCTCGCAGGCAGCATCGCTGTCGATTGGATATGGAAGACTATCTGAGCATATTTTTAGTTTGGACCCAAGTGATTTGCAGCTCTCTAAATTCCGGGGTAGGATATAGAGCATTGAATCATCGTCGCGCGCAATATATTTTTGTGTTGTTGGTAGAATATGATGAAATCATGTTCGATTATCAAGTATAGGGATTGGATATAGGTGATAAAGGGTATAAATTTCAGGATCAACTAGTGGTATCTTAAGGGTAAATACTATTCTTAATTCTGATTGATATGCTTCTAATTCGATTATGTCGAGATATCGAGCAATATTTGAAGAATAAATCGGTAAAGGTAAATTGTTTTTTCGAAGTGATTGTGAAATTTGCTGTAAAGAGTTAACCAAATCTAAAGGTGTGATAATTGAACTATGCAGGATTTTCAATCGTGCAAATACTATAGCATTTAAAACATCGTTAAGGTAATTTTCTAAATAAACAAAGCTTTCCATTAGAGATTCACATAAATCTATGACTCTGATTTGAGATTGGTAAAAAGCGATATCGTCTGTTATGTCTAAAATTGATTTCTTAATTTCTTCAATGTCTTTATTAAAAAGTTTCTTCGTCTATTTGTAGTTTTTGTATTGTTGTATTAAAAGTTTTAATTACCGAAGTTGTGACAGATATTTGATTTTTGAGTAAATTTTCAATTTGGTGTTCATCTTGATTAATTTTGTTGATACAGTCATTAAAATATTCGCCGTCGGAGGCGTCTAAGTTACCGGTTATTGATTTCCATACTGTACCAATTCCGTTAAATATTCCGCGTTTTTGCCTAACATAATCTTTCGTATCTGCAAATATTTCCTCGTATTTCAGATTTACTGAGTCAGAAATTTGTTGTAGGAGGCTAACATGTGTTTGAATTTCGGCCTTGAATGCGAGCATTCTCGGTGTTCCCGTATCTATTAAGTTATCTAATAATTTGTCTAGAATTTCATCATTGTTTACGATAGCGTCTTTTATAGGACCGAGTTCTTTATAAACAAGAAGGGTCCACTTTTCATTTGATATTTTAATGTTACTTTCTTCATGAAAAAATATTCCGATAGTGTTATTTATCGGAGTTATTGAAAATTGGGATGTGGCGACAGAAAACAGCCAAAACAATCTGGAAATAAAAATAAATGCTATTCATGATAGGGTTTAAGTCTGTCATAATTTACTTTAGTGGTTTGATTCGTATCGGGGTTTAATAAAATAGCGGAGTTGTTTCTAAGAATTTTTATAATTTCGAAAGGCCCATTGAATTTATTTCCGGCTTTACTTGAAATTTGAGATTCTTTAACATACACTTTATCATTGACTTTATAGTCCGGGGGATCATGTGATATATTTTTATCAAATCTAATTTTTGCTTTTTCTTTTTGTTGTTCAGTTCTTCCTCGAGCTAATTTGTAATAGTATTCCATTCTATTACTAAGGTCCCTAACATATTTGGATATTAGATTCTTGTGATTGTAAATAGTCTCTGGTGGCCTATTAGATGTATGCCCAAAAATCAGTTCATACGGTGTAAAACCATGGGTTTTATTTTTCGTATTATTATAACAAATGGTAGCATAGGGTAGTACATTAAAAGGGTGTTCATTAGGGTTTTCAGCTTGGTTAGACCTGATCATTTCGGAAAGCGTAGCATGAAATCTTTCTATAGATCCATTCGATTGGGGATGATTTACACTAGAAAAGGTGAGTTTAATGTCATAAAGTTCGCAGAGATCTTTTAGTAAAGTATTATCGAATTCGCGGCCATAGTCACAATGAATCCTTAGAGGGGTTCCATAATGCTGGAAAAATACTAGAAGGGTGTTTACTACAGTTGATGCTTTCTTATCTGTCAAAGGGTAGGCTTGCGTAAATTTTGTAAGTTCGTCCCTGATAGTAAGGGCATAATTTCTAGTTGGGTATTCAAATATATCAATATTAATTCTCTCAAAGGGAGTTTTCGGGGTTTCAGTTATTACTAAATTATTGCTAAGATTTTTACGGCATATTTTTACCTTTTGACATATCTCACAAGTTTTAATTAATTTTTCAACGTCTTTTGTTAAATTAGGCCAATTATATTTTTCTTTGATGCGTCTAATGGTTTCATTTATTCCTCTATGTAAATTACTTTTTCCGTTATGATATTGATCTAAGATTATGGGTATTTCATCTTCAGTAGGTGTTTTGGTTATATTTTGACATATTTTTAATTTTATTTCTATGTCGGCGAATACGAACGAAAATATTTCAAGGATTGGCAGTTCTAGAATATTTTCTACGCAATAAGTTTTGGAAATATTTAATTTGTTTTGTTCTTTGTATAAGACGTAAAACAAATGTTCGACTACTATTTCGGGGTCGAAAGGTAAACAAATGATAAGGTATTGACGGTCTTTAATAGTTTTACTAGATAATATATTGATTTTTGAACTAGAGAAATCATAATTTTCTTCAAAAATATCGTCTATAATTTTCTCGTGAAGTTCTTCTAGTTTGTTTTGCCAAAAGAAAGTGACAATCGTTTTATGACTTTTGTCTAGTAATTGTGAACTGGAAATGTCAATTTTTGAATAATCGATAATAGATTTAGTTTTATATAAATTAACGAATTTATTAAATTCCTCTGTTAAAATTGTATCGTCAACTTCAGTATCTTCATTAGTATCAGATTGAGGTTGATCTTCATCTTCGTCTTCGTTAGAAGCGAAAATCGAGACTTTTGAATTAAAGTTAGCGCATTGCTGAAAATAGTTAATT